TATTATTAAAAAATGCTTAAATATAAAGCAAAAATCAAAACTGAAATGCCAAAAACAGACATATAACTAAACAACAACTCCCAATTACTAAATATTCAACAAGTTTAACAAAATTGTGCAAAATATATTCCTTATCCTTACAATGCACTTTAGGGTTTTTGAAGCTACCTCCAATATGATATAAAGCAACTGGAGATCAAAACGTCTAAGTTGCTTGCTCAAGGTCAAATATCTGATAAGGGAAATAAATAAAATTTAAGCTCAAATCTGAGTGCAAAACATCTTATTATATTGCCTCTCAGAGCAAAGAGCAAGTGATATGAGGTACATGATATTCATCAGAGAAGCAAAATAAACTAAACAGAAAAAAAAGACTCATATTTATAAATGGTGGCGACCAAGACACCAAGGCAAGGTAATGGCAAACTCTTCTACCCAGAGAACACATTTTTGGATTCCATTCTGTAAGTTAGGTTTAGATGTGACTTTCTTCATTCCCTCACAGAGTCTTTAAGTCTGACCAAGGTAATACTTGGAAAGACAGAAGCAGGCTCAGATTCCCCAGCAAAGGCCTGGGAGGGTCCAGATTAAGTCTCCTCATCAAAAAGTCATAGGATTACTGACTAGGCATGGTGGCTCACGCCTGTAATTCCAGCACTTTGGGAGGCTGAGGCAGGTGGATCACTTGAGGCCAAGAATCTAAGGCCAGCCTGGCCAACATGGCAAAACTCACCTCTACTAAAAATACAAAAATTAGCCATGCGTGGTGGTGGCATATGCCTGTAAATCCCAGCTACTCGGATGGCTGAGGCAAGAGAATCCTTTGAACCCAGGAGGTGGAGATTGCAGTGAGGCAAGAGAATCACTTGAACACAGGAGGTGGAGATTGCAGTGAGCCAAGATAGTGGCGCTGCACTCCAGCCTGGACAACACAGAGACAGAGATATAAACAAAAAAGCAGAGTTTTTAATTTTTAAAAAATAAATTATATACTTTGTTTGCACACAATTCAGAATTTGCACACAATTTTGATCTCTTTAAGGAGCATTTTTAGGCCTGAATCTATGACTTTTTTAAAAAAGTATATAATTTACTTTGTAAAAAACTAAAAGTATGTGTGTGTCTGTGTCTGAATTTGTATGTGTATAAACATGTAAACACCTTAAATTTAATACAGGCTACTTCTTATGTCAAATAGGATAATGATTTAATAAATATAAGAGGTTTGATTTCTTAACAACTACTTTGTAGAAATTTTGTTAAATGTATACATACACATATTTTTTAAGTAAATTAAATAATACGAAAAGTAAGATAATAAAGAACAGTGACAGCCCATCCAAATTCAGTCTCCAGTTTCAACAGCTTTGAATTCTTTCTTCCTGTGATTTCCATGTTTTTCTATACAGTGTGTGTTAAGTGCTCTGTCTTTATCAATTAGTTCTGTTTGTCATATATCGAGTATTTTTTAAAGATTTTTATGTTAATTGCTTAGTATTTTCAACCCCTTCTCCCATTCTCTTCTTAAAATTTTTTGTTTTAAAAATTGTCAAGTAAAAATTGTCTATATTTTAAAAAAAGAGAGAGAGAGAGAACAGAATTGAGAAAATAAAATTACGGCCCTGGGAAGGAGGCAGGCTGGCCACATGTAAGAAAGGTGGCCAGAAAAGTGGCCGGCCTCGCCAGGCTCCTGTGGGTGCTCCGAAACTCAACACAGCCTGGCACGACTGACCTTAGGAGGAGGGTGGCAAACATTTCCAAAATCATAGCCATGAGTAGGAAATAAACGTCTTACATCACTACCCATTGGCTGAGAGCTAAAAACTAGAGCCAAGCAGTAGCAAGCTCACTGGTGACAGACCTCTGGATCCTAAAACGAGCAGCAGACAGGGATTCTGGTAGCAGAAAGCAGGCTGGGGTGACAAGACAGCCACTGACAACTGGAAATCAGAAAGGTGTTTTGGTCTGGGTTGTCCCAGAAGCAGATCTAGACAAGACCTGGAGTGCAAATAGTACATGTTTTTGGTTGTGAAGGTTGGGAGGAATCCCAAGAATACTGGTGGGGAGTCAAAAAGTTACATACGGAAGCAAAACAATTCAATACAGTGTGCATTATCAAGCAAGTTACTCCTATAGGATACTAGAGTCTAATTTCACTAAATACATGAGGGATACAGTGTAGAACATATTTCTTCATTATCCCCACCACGGCAGGAGGGCACTAGGGCATTTACACATTAATTCCTTGCCTGGTAGTGGTTGAGGATGTATCTTGAAGACACTAATCCTCCAACAAATGTGGCTTGTCATTACTGTCACAGCCAGATAAACTCCCTATCGTTGTATGGAATAAAGAGGCTTCAGAGTTTAGAGGTGCTGCCTAGGGGTTATGGACAAGGTACCAACAGCCTCTACTGCAGTGAATACCTCTGAGTACTTTTCCACTATTTCACTTATTCAGCAGAATAGTATAGAAAAAGAAAATGTGTGTGCTCTGCCATAAAATAGACCTGAGTTTGATCCCACTTCAGCCATAATAACTTTGTAGCCAAAATTCTCTCAAATCAGAATTAGCCTACATTACTCTACATGATCCACTAAATCAATAAAACTAGAAACAAATACATCATCATGAACACAATTGACTCTGTAAGGGCAGCGTCTGGTCACAGATTAGTTCCATGTTAAAGAGGGGAACTAAGTACTGTTTAATTTAAAAATGTTCCATTCTTCCAACAAATTACATACTACCTGTCTTAACTTTTCATTAATAGTTTCTGATTCAGAAAGTTGTAAGAAATGCATGTACCATGTCAGGCTTTTGTGGAGGTGAGAGATGATATATGATATATTTTAAGTATATTGCACAATTCTTGGTACATAGTAAACACTCAAAATACGTCTGGTATTGGTTCCTTTTTTCAATCATTTTAAAAATAATAAGAACAAATGTTTTTGATATGTTCCATGTTCCAGGAACCAGGCTTGAGTGTGGAAATATACAGGAGTATGTATATGGTTGTCCTTGCCAGGAGCTTGTTGTCAAAGTATAGAGAACAGACAGGCACAAACAATTAGGGAGATATAGTAAACACTAAAATTTTTTAGAAGAAGGAGAGAATTCTTTCAGTTGAACAAAGTGTAAGATTAAATATTCTAATGAGGAAATTTATAAGGGTTTTTGAAAGATAATACGTTGTTTCGTAAGCTTCAAGAGAACAGGTGTCTAGGCTATTTTAATTGCTGCATCACTGGTGGAGAGGACAAGACCTGACCCATAGTCCAATACCCTATGTACCAACCAAATGACTGTGAAGAATATGGAAAGTGCTTTCTAAACAGAGATAATGACTTGAGCAAGTAAGAGGAGGCAGAAAAGAATCAGGTGCAAAGAAGATATTGAATGATCAAGTTCAGCTGCAACTCTACATCCATGCAGATAAGAGGTAATGATTCAGCCTGAAAGAGTAGTTGAAGTGAGACGAGACTAGCAGAAAACCTTGAATATCGGTCCAAGGTGCTTGGATTTTTGTAGCAAAGTGAAGCTATTGAAGGCGGGAAATAACCTAATAAAAATGGTGATTTGGAAATTTGAATCTGGCAGTAAAATGAAGAAAGATTAGAGAGACAGTAGGCAAAGGGGCAGGTTAGAGGCAATTCATTGTCCAGGCCAGGTACATCTTAGTAATTGATGTTCATATGCTTCACTCCAAATTACCACAAGCACTGACTGCTGCAAGCTGATTCTTGCTGGTATCAAGGACAGAAAGGTAGGGATATTTATCTCTGGCTATAACCCCCACATGGGACAACATGTGAATAAAGCAATCTGTTCACCCATATGGACCCCACAAGTTTTATAAATGTGAGTAAATTCACTCATAACTGGCATTTCATATAATTAAATTTAGCAGAGGTTAATCATCAAAACTACATCAATTGCAATTTCCCATTTTGGGGAATGTTTATCAATTAAGCAGAAAGAAACATACATACACATACAACATCAACAACAAGCAACAGCAACATTTTTCCCGCCAAAATTATCTAACTCTTCTATGTCCTACCTGGTACACTTTATTAATAAAACCACAATCAATCAATACTCAATATTATGAACACAACTGACACTATGAAATAAATATTTGATCATCGGTTAGCTTGGTTAAGGTGGACAAAAGGGTACTATTTGGATAAAAATGCCCACCTGTATCTGGATAACTTCATGACTGTCAGCCTGAAATATACCCATGGGAAATATATTTCTTTGTAACCACTCATTTTGTCAGTCATTTTACAAGTATATATTAAATGTGTATATGTATGGCAAATGTGACAGGAATAACCTAGATTTCAGGGAATAAATAAGAAAACAAAATGATTCTTTTGCTTGAGAAATTTCGAGTCCATTGGGATACATTAACAGATGCTATGAGAGACAGGAAGGTAAAGAAATGGATGTCTTTAGAAAATCAATATGTATGTATTAAATGTTGGCCATATAAAGTCTTGTGTTATTTACCATTATCTGTAGAAGATTAGAAGATAAATCTTAGTAATTTTTCAAAATGCAGATATACTTATGGATTTTCAAACTAAGGTAATATTAATAAATGGATATATTGCTTTCACTTCTCATTTAATAATATTTTTATTGAGCACCTAGTATATTCTAGGCATTGTAGTAGACAATATGGATTTAATGATAATTAAAACATGTTCTGGCTGGGTGCGGTGGCTCACACCTGTAATCCCAGCACTTTGGGAAGCCGAGGTGGGTGGATCACCTGAGGTCAGGAGTTTGAGACCAGCCTGGCCAACATGGTGAAACTCCATCTGTACTAAAAATATAAAAAATTATCAAGGCGTGCTGGCATGTGCCTGTAGTCACAGCTACTTGAGAGGCTGAGGCAGGAGAATGGTGTGAACCTGGGAGGTGGAGGTTGCAGTGAGCCAAGATCGTGCCACTGCACTCCAGCCTGAACAAAAGTGCAAGACTTCATCTCAAAAAACAAAAACAAAAAACAAAAAACAAACAAAAATCATGGTCTGCAACTAAATAGTTTATTAGGCAGTGTGATCTATCTGTCAGGCTAAATTATATTGTACCAACAATTTCAGAATAAATAAGATTTATTTTTCAGTCATGCTACTTACATATCATAGTTCAGCCTCACCTCTGTTTCATATAGTCTTCAAAACAGGACAGGGTTGATGGGAAAATCTCTATGTGAAATAAGGCTGCTCCTGTGGCAGAGAGGAAAAAGATGAAGACACATGTCACTTCTGCTCATATTTAATTGTTCAATGCACAGCCTATGACCATCATAAAACCAACAGGATGGGGAAGAAAAAACAGCTTGCAGGAAGATATATCACAGGGGCAGAGCTAGGATATTTGGTGAACAATATAATCTACTGCAGTGAGTCAGCTAGGGCTACAAACTCTCCCAGTAGAAATTTTCATGGTTCTCAAAAGAAATCATCATGGATGTACTTAGTAGTTGATAAAACCCTCAGATTGATTATTTATCCATGAGCTGTTATGATAGAAAAGATCAAGGACAAACATGAAATTATCCTCACCCTCTAATGCTCAGCACAAAACTAACAACAATAGCCCATCATGAGTGGAATGGCCCAATGAGAACTGAAAAATTTGTTTGTACGGCCTCATAAATTTAGGTTCTTTTTGTCTACAGATCACAGTTCACAGAGAAGAACAATTTGCAATAGGGTGAACACTAAGAGTCTTGCTAAGCTTAACATAAAATTAGGCATGTTTTCTCTCAATATATTACTTTTCACTCCTTTGAAATTCTATTGCTTCTGCTGTTACTGGCACTACCACCATTAACACAACCACCACCATCACTGCCACCACCATAATGACCACCATCACCGCCACCACTATCATGAGCAACATCATCACCACCACCACCATTGCCATCACCACCATCACCACCACCATCACAACCATCACCACCACTATCCCATCATTAACTCCATTACCACTACCACCATCACAGTCACCACTACCATTACATCACCACCACCACTGTCTAAACCATCACCACCATTATCCCATCATTATCTCCGTACCACTACCACCATCACAGTCACCACTACCATTACATCACCACCACCACCACCATCATGACCATCACCACCACTATCCCATCATTATCACTGTTACCCACTACCACTATCACAGTCACCACTACCATTACATCACCACCACCATCACCATCACAACCATCACCACCACTATCACAACATTGTCTCATTACCACTACCTGCATCACAGTCCTGCTACCATTGCATCACCACCACCACCTGTCACATTGTCCTGCCACTGTCCCATCATTATCACCATTACCACCACCATCCCCAATCCACTACCATCCTCCTCCTAACTCCTCCACCACCACTATCCATCCCATTATCCATTCTACCACTACTATCACAGTCACCACTACGTTACATCACCATCACCACCATCACAACCACTCCACCACCACTATCCCATCATTATCCCTGCGTTACCACTACCACTATCACAGTCACCACTACCATTCATCACCATCACCACCATCCACTACCACCATCACAGTCACCACTACCATTACATCACCACCACCACCATCACAACCATCACCACCACTATCCCATCATTATCACTGTTACCACTACCACCATCACAGTCACCACTACCGTTACATCATCACCACCACCACCATCACAACCGTCACCACCACTATCCCATCATCACCATTACCACTACCACCATCACAGTCACCACTACCATTACATCACCAACACCACTGTCACAACCATCACTACCACCCTCATCATCATTACCACAACCATCACCATTACCACCAGTGTTATCACCTTCACCAGCACTGTTACTATCAACATCACAACCATTTCACTGCCAGCTTTTACTGAAGACTCTTTTGTGCCTTATATGCATTTTTAAATTCAGTTTAATGTGCAATGATCTTATGAGGTAGATACCATGGCTATCCCTATTTTATAATTAAGACAAGTGAGGCTTAGTGAATTGTTTTAAATGTTCCAGGTTTTCATAGCTAATAGGTGATAGACTCTGAAATTCAAATCCTGGAATTTTAATGTCAAAACTTAAGAACATAAGCAATATACAAATTATCTCTAAGTGGCATTAATTTAATTAGAAAGTACATAACTTGTCTTTCTCCATGATAGCAAAAACAAAACAACAGTAACAACAAAACAGTGTTCCATTTGTTTCACTGTTATTGACTGGTAGCAGAAAATCACAGGGTTTGGACCAGAAGATGTCTTTTCTTTTCCAGTTTCACTGCCAATTGACTGTGTGACCTTACAGAAACCTGTTAACCTCTCTGAGGTATAGCTGTACAATTGAGAAGATAATCTTAGATTGCCTTACCCAGTACTGGTAAGAGGGATCAAAAAATACACGTGAAATCTCAATGTGAACTATCATTCTTATAGAGCATAAATTACTATGATTTCTGCTTAATTTTTCTCTCTCTGGAAAGCTAGTCTCTCTCTCCCTCACATAATCTTAGATTATGGTCTCTAGTCCATCTCTGGAGGGATACTTACAATATTTACTACAAATGATTATCATAAATACTTGAAGTTACTACGTTTTCAATAGCAGAACAATTACCATTTTTCATCTTGATGTCTAGCAAAAGAGGCTACATACGATTGGGCAAGGTCCTCAGAGGGAGCAGGACATCAGGAAGCTTCCCAAATGCTCCCAGTTCAATTGGAGGGCAGGTGATGAGGGAGAAGTAAAAGCTCCTAGTCACCTCAAAGAACCGTTTCTTAAAGGAGGTTCTCTGACTCATGAGCTTCCAACAACTCTTTAATTATTCTGGACACAAAATGACTATCCCTTTATTTCATCCAGAAAGAAAATGAAGGAGGTATTCCCCATCTCCACAGGTCAGCTTCTTATCTGGCTTGTCTTTTATGAACAGAATTGACAAGATCCTACACAGAATAGAAGACCTCAGGGGACACTGCCTTGGAGTGTATTCCTGAATGACTGACTTCTTGGAAGGACACTTTGAGCTTATTCTGCACAGGTGATGTGCTGCTCACAACCTCCTGAGTCATTCCGGACCTACCTGCAGAACTTTACCGAATATAAACAACCGCCATAGACATTAAAGAAGAATATATACAATTCTACAGAACCACTCGCACTCCCTTGACATAAGATTCACCAACTACAGAATCTTTGCAAAAGTAGACATGAGTTCTTTCTCTGGATAAGGCTTCATTTTTATTATTTTAAATGCAATTAAGAGTGAGTTATGGGATAGTAAGATATAGGAAGCTGTCAAAAGGCTTTTACTGTTCCTTTTATATATGCATAGTTCTATTAAGCAATATTCAGCTATTTCCTGCATTTATTTTATTACTTTGGCAAGGAGGAAATTATTTCAAACATGGGTAGAATCCTGCATCCTCACCTGGCCTTACCTACTTCTTTAAATGGGTGAATACTTAAGAGTTTGCCTGTAACTCTCAGCCCAAATCCAAGGATTCAAACACACAAAGGCTTCCAAAATGTAAAATGTTCTGATTTCTTTATTTTCCCATATGGAACAGAAATAATGTGTCACAAAAACCTCCATTCATAACTTTTTGAGGTTATTTGAACATTAAGATACATATTTTACTATATTCTCTAATTAAACTGAACACACTATTTTCTGAAATAGAGAGGGTTTTCATTGGCATGTTGCAAACTTTACCTGTTATCTTCCCTTATTGCAAAGTGTGTAATTTGTCTTCTCAGCAATGGCACATGTATCTTAATATGACTAATGTTAGAAAAATAGCCCATCATCAGAGAATATTAATTGCCCTTGTTTTCTCCAAAAAGAGAGGAAAAAAAGGTGGCATTCATTGCAAGAGCAGATCCATGTTCAGGTTTTAAAGGGAACTTAATGCAATGTTTCCCATAATATCCTTCCCATAAAAGTTAGGCCCTAGAGTCCTTCCAAGTGGCTAGTTCTGTTTCTCCATTGTTCATTTACCAAAAAACCCTTCTCTGTAGACACAGTCAGGGCTCTTCTTTATTTTTCTGGATTGTCTCCATAAACTACTTATTTTTGTCTGAATTTCTGCCTTTAAAAGAGTTATATGTTATTTTTTAGTTCATATTCAAAGTATTGCTGTATGTCTTACACTAAGGGACAACATTGTGACTTTAGAAATTATATTTTAATTTATTTAAAGTGATAGGAAATATTTTCTCATGGCTGGGTTGAAAAAAAAGTCAGCGTGTGCAGAGTGCAATGCCAATAATACAGTGGCAGGCATATATGTGCATACAGCATTGGCTGATTTTATTGTTCTTGCTGGTGCTCCCTCTCCCATTGCCATAGGACTAAACCATTCCAAAAGCATCTCAAAATTCTACAACAACGTTTTCCCTGATCCTCATACTTTAATATTTTTTTACATCTATGGTTTTTCACAGTACTCTCTTCCTGACTACCTCTTAATATGTGACTGTTACAATTGTTGCTTTGGCAAATGTATAACCCCTAGCCATAGACTGTAAGTTTCCTGAGAGTGGGTATAATTCCTTAAGCAGTTTAGTGTGACCTAAGTTACCTGGACATTGCTTGACACTAAGTAGCGTCTTACAGACCAAGTAAGTCCTTAAAATGATTATTGAATATATATTTTAAGAATAAGACACCAGATGATGAAAAATAGTTATACCAAACAAGAGCCCCTTAGCCCCTTGTAAGCTGTATGTCAGTTATCTTCCCAGGCTGTTGGAAACATAGAGGAATAAAGTCATAGAGATGGTGAGGTCTTAAGAAACACAGAGCTGGTTGTAAAGCAGGAAGTGTCTACACTGTTGCATTTATTATATTTGTTTTTCGTGTCCGTGCATCAATGGCTTAAATTTCTAACACTCTGGAGAGAATGACATTTTGGATGTCACTGGGTCACATTACAGCACAATCCAGGTTTCACCTGGTGCAAGGAGAAGGGAGTGGGCTCTCAGAAACTTTGGCAGTAGGAGCTAAGCATTTTCTCCCACCAGGATCACACACAATGTGAGAAATGCTATTTTTCAAAAACAAAACTAGCTGATACTAGAAGAATACTGGATTCTGGAAAATCGAAGATGATAAACATTTATTAAACCTCTGTTTGCTTAATAAATGGAATGTAGAAGATACTTAACGTATGTTTACTTA